GGACTTGGCGTGCATCAACAAGATAATACTACACAACTTAACTTCGACTGACTTTTTAACCAAAGCACAACTTTAATATAAAGATTAAAGCATTGTGCCTACAACAAGAGACAAATCTAAGTTACAGACAGAACTTCAGAAATGGATGTTGGAGATGTGTCATTGCTCCTTTGCCTCAGAAGCTAATTATAATTTGATACTAGCACCTTCTGGTGACTAATTCAATTGGTCTGCAATCACCATACACAAACTTAGTTTAAGCTGCACACCTTGCAGACACAACATCTGACCTAATTTTTGAATAATGTGATCCCCTGCTCTATTTTTGTGCCATCCATCCAGATTAAGTCACAGGAAAGGCAGAAACATACATATTCTTTTCAGGTACAGGAAGTCTCCTACATACAAACAAGTTCCATCCCAAGAACATATTCATAAATTCAATTTGTTCCCAAGTTCAGCAAAGTTAGCCCAGGTACCCAACTAACACAATCAGCTATATATGCATAGTACTGTACTATAATCGGTTTATAACACCACTGGAGGACTTTTGTTGACATCACCAGAGGACTGCTGGAAGTTATACTCCTGGATACATGGCAGTGAGGAAGTGCACCTGTGTTGTTCATCTGATGGGTTCTTCCTCCCATGGTGTTACCATTGGATTGGTGCAACCTGTGTTACACTTTGCTGGACTTAATTATTACAGTACAGTACACAAAAGAACATTCATATCTTTGAAAGTTCACAACTTGAAGATTCATATATAGGGGACTTCCTGTATTTGGTTGGTTCTAATAAAGGTGTGGCCAAACTATGTGGATGAAAAGAAACAAAGTACAATCTACTTGTCCAGAACAACTAAAACATGGTAACAGCCAAGGCAGATTCCAGGCTTCTGGGAAGGATAAAAATGTAATTAATAAACGGTAATAATACTAAATGATAACACCACACCTTTATTAAGGTCAACTGAAAATGGAATAAGGCTGTGAGCACATTTCAGAATCTCCATATTCATACTTCATCAGACTAGATACTACACGCAAGGCAGGGTAAGAAAGCTTTTCTGATGTCATGAAGTCAGCACGTAATCAGTTCTAGGATCCAGTATTGAACAAGCTAGAGAGTGAGCTTGATTTATTTACTCTAAAAAAAAAAAAAAAAAAAATCATACCCTGTCTTTCATTCTTGGAGTTCTCAGGTGCCTACAAAATTAATACAGTTAATAAAGATATTCCATCAATTTAAAACAAAAATAGTTAAACATTAAACCATAACAGAAGACAATAAAACTATAAAACAATATCTAAACAACATTAATTAAAGCAGCAGGTCAAAAATGATAGATGAATGAAAAGAAAGACCTTCACCAGTTCCCAGAAGGTCATTAATGATGTCAGACAAGCTTCTTTCAAAAGTGAGAATGCAGGTTCTGCTGGTCCTTCCCCCATTCCCAACTAAGCATATCCCAAAGCACAGGATACACAATACCTCTGAAAATGATCTTCATAGGTTAGTGATATCAAAGGCCACTGAGAGGTCTTCCAGGATCAACAGGAATGTACCTCATGCCTAGTCCCATGTATAGTTCATCCAACAATAACATTTCAGCCCCAAAACTGGGTCTAAATCTGGACTGAAATGGATCAAGTTAATCTGTTTCATTCAGGAAAACCTGGAGCAAAACTAATCTTTTAGCACTTTAGCCAGAAAAGAAATATCAGAGACTAATAGATATCTCCAATACGGTAGAACGAAGGCACTTTTTCTACTGTGATGACTCACTACATTCTCTTTTTAAAAAGGAAAGAACAACACTTCTTCACACTGAGGCATTTATCATTTCCACCACCCACTCAGCCTATCCACTTCTGAATACTCATATTATCCAGAATGTGCAAGAGTCAAGTGCTCATGCAATTGGCCACACCTCTCCAAAAATGGTACCCACATCCTTTCACTACACAAATTGAAACACATCCCATTTATTTAGACAAGCATGTGCCAGAACCACATTTGCTGGCACTGCCCTAACCATAGTATCTAAGTTGGAATGGATATAAGCAGGCATTGTTCGATACCCCAGTCCTAAAACACTCAAGACTTTAAAGCCAACACTTTGAACTGATTTGCATGGTCAAAATAAGCCATGGTAATAACCCAGCTTTGCTATTACTACTATTAATTTATTCTGATTTGAGTGAACCAGGTGTCTGTAACAGATCAGAAGCCAGTGCCATTGCTTCAACAAGGGAGACACTTGCTTTGCGATTATAGCTTCTGTTAACTGGGCAATGCATTCAGGATGGAATGAAAATTCCAGATATCTACAAGGCTGCCCTACATAAAGTACATTGCAATCTTAGCTACATCTGCACTCTCCAGGAATAAGCACAGGTGATGCATCAGCCCCAGCTGGGCAAAGCACTATTAGCTAAAGCTAAAACTTGGATATTCACATCACAGTTCTTCTGATCTAGGAACCATAATTCCATCAGGGTTAGGCAAAAATCTCCCTAAAAACTCAGGTTAATAGTTTAGAGGTTCTCCTGGAAAACCTCACACCCTTAACGTTGCATGCTCAGGTCAGCTCTACTGACTGTCTTGTCCAGTTTCAATTTCCATTTGTTAGCTCATATTGCCATCTTCAGAGAATGATTCAAGACTTCAACAGCTGCCATGGAAAGGCAGAATGGGGAAAGAGGTGGAAAGAGGAATAGGGAGAGAGAGGAGTATCAATCCACATATTAATCACATTAAATTCCAAAATCCAAAATAACTTTCCCCAGCAGTTTTATGTTAAACAGCAAGGGGAACAAGTCAAAATCATAGCTCAGAGGCCAAGACACTGAGCAGGAGCTGCCCCCCCTGCCTCCGAAGCACCTTCTGAAGCCCGCCCTCTAGGAAAGATTGGACCTGTAACACTGTGCCCCAAGTCCAGTGAGATTTAGCCTACTGAAGGTGCTAGTGGTACTGAAAGGCACTGAGAGGTCCAGGACAAATAACGCCAATGCTATTTCAGTCACAAATGAAATTTAAGTTTTCATCAAACTTAAATGTCATACATACAATCCCGCTTAGCCAAGTGTTTCACCTTTCACATTAACAAATGTGCTAAATCATACAATGCACATGAAAAAAAATAAATTCCTGTTAGTTTTAACATTTTTTTGTACAAATATGCTTCCCATACTCTGCTGAAAATGCTTACAGTCTTGGATAATACTGATAATTATCTGGATACATTTTGGTTCAGACTAGGTTCTAAGTAAGGAAACGGCTTTGGTTGCCCTGTAGGATTTTCTATATTGAGAGAGACGGGACAACCCTGTTGATTTCTCTTGATCTTTTAGTGACTTCCTATAGCATCAACAATGGTGATCTTCTGGGACAACCATCTGAGCTGGGAATGGGGGAGACTGAATTGCAGTGGTTCTACCCCCACCTGAATGGCTGGCTGCAGCTGGTGACACTTGGGGTAGATTACTCAGTCTTGTGAATTCTACAGTACTGTGTCCCAGAGAGATCATTTTGTCTCTCATAACATTTAACACCTACATGGAGCCATTGATTAGGCCCATCCAGAATTTTGGTGCAGCCTGCCATTAGCAGGCTGTTCTTCTCCTTTTTATCTCCATTAGGTGTGGCTATAGATATTAGATCAGTACCTACCAGCAACAATGGACTGAAAGAAGGCTAATAAACTGAAGCTCGATTCAGACAAGACTGAGAAGCTGTGAGAGGAGGCTTCTTCTGACCAAAATTAAGGTGTTCATCCTGTTCTGGATGGACTACACTCTCAGGACCAAAATACCTCATGGAGTACCTCTCCTGGTATGAACCTACCCAGGCATTATGATCAACATCTGATGCGCTCCTCTGAGTGTTTCATCCAAGGGTGGTTTGGAGAATGGCAAGAATGAACAAGGCCATTTCAGTGGCAGCCCACTGAATTTGGAATGCCCTTACGACTGAGGTCTGCCTAGTGCCAGCTTTGTCATGTTTTTAGCACCAGGTTCTTTCTTTCCTCTTAGCCTGACACTACCATTTGTTTTATCCTGGTCTCTTATTCTAATTGTTCAGCTGTTCTGAACTGTTTTAAAAAGTTATATGCTAAATATGGACTATGTTTAGATTGTCTTGTGACAGCTTGGACAATTGAGCTATATAGAAATGAAATAAATGAAATGAGCTCAAGGCTAATCATGATACATTCTCATAAGATCAAATCATGGTTGATTGTTATATATCAATGTGCCCGTCTCTTCAGAAACATCAGCAGACTTTCAGTCAAGCTGACCAAATTTATAAAGAGCACAAAACAACAGGGATACCAGTAAGCCTCAAAACTCAAGAGGATTATAGGCAACCCAAGGAGGGGAGAAGGCTTGTGTACATGGAGGTGCAATCTTTGTCTCTCCACTCCTTCTGTCCTGCATTTTAGCTAGAAGATAATTTTGTCTATCTAGCTGCAGCGCTTCAAGTGGGGAGAGAAAGAGGCTGGAGTGCCATAAGGATACATTACAGCCTGGTGGACTTGGTCTCCTTCACAGACTACCCCGTGGAATACCCACTTTACCCCTCTTCAAGGTCATTCCTATGACCTCGGAAATACAGCTGGAGCAGTTCTTTCTGAACCAGCTGTATGTAGGGGTTAGAGGAAGAACGGGATCCAAGCATGGATCCCCAGTCTGAAAGCAGAGCTGTTTTTCTGATCTCAGATCTAGAAAGTCAAAGCATCCTACGGCCCGCCAGACACTGTCTAGGGGCCATATAATCACTCTGTCCAGATATGTTTTAATCCTTTATTTAAGCAGTAGTCCGTAAGGGATATGAAAGGCTTCTTTCCTTATGAATGTGGAGGTTTCTACTCTACAAATGAGATGTATTAATTACAATTCCTTATATCCTCAGTGAGATACAAGTAGAACAATACACTGAAATTCCTATATAAAACTGAATTCTCTAAAAGAAATGGTATGTGCTGAACTTTTTACCTGTAATTTTGTATCCATAAGCAGCCAACTGTCCAGCCATGTATTCTCCATCTGAACTATTATGGGAACATCCCCATGTGCGTATCCAAATTTTTTGTACACCAGGAATCACACTGCCAAAGAGGTGAAAGAAAAATAATTCCAATGTGCAATACATTCAGCAATACATTTGTTCATCCGTTTCCTAAATCCACATGAAAATTTTCATTTAAATACACTGTTCTAAACGTATTTTCTCTCAGAATACATATCTGTTAATATTTTGAGTCAAGAAAAGAATCAGAACATTCCGGAAGTGTAAAAACAATATGGATAACTAAGTTTTGAACTGCACATTAGTACAGGTGGTACAAATCAAATCAGTATGTAACAAATTCACAAAGACTGGATTCCTCAAACTTTTCTCCATGAATATATTTTTATTTAATATTAATACTGTTTATTATTGTTACAGTCTTGCCACATGCCTCAGTCAGAATAATGTCTCTTAAATGCCAATATATGAAATTACAATCATGAGATGTCAATGCCCATGTACATTGACATTAGATGTCAATGCCCATGGATGTCAATGCCCATTTGAAATATGAATAGTATGACTCTTTCTTGATTTGTTATGCTTTAGAACACATACAATGCTAACACCCAAATTTGAGAGCAACAGAGACAGCTCAGGATCTCAGTAAAATCAACTTATCAAACAGGAAGTGTCAAATGCTAGACTCTGTTCTGACAGAATAATCTCCCTGACACCACAGGAGATTAAGAAACAGATACATGTATGTTGTGAGCCGCCCTGAGGTTTCGGCAAGGGGCAGCATAGAAATGTTTTAATAAATACACGCAAGTGTTATTTATTTCTTTTGTTCTACTTCAGACTGCAAACTTTTTCTTAAAAAGAAACATACCTGTCGCTGGGAGGATCGTCATCTGCTTCTACATTCTTTTCTGAATGCCGTTTTCGTACTTTGGGAAGAACGCTTTCCCTCCTGAACTGCCGCTCGTGAGGCTTTGGCTCTTGTGCTGACACAATATCTTCAATGTCTTCAAGGAAAGAATTGCAGGCAGCAGACATTTTCTACAAAGATGGAAGTACAGGGTGACCAAGTAAGAATTTAAATCATTATTTTAGATGCTTCCATTTTATCTTTAACCTCTCAGAAAACATTGGTTAATGGGATGTTGTTCAACCATTATTGTTTTGGATGCTATACAAACACTGTCAGTAAATAAAATACAAACTCTAATGACCCAATATTAAAACAACTGCTTCTGTCTCTTTAATAATATTGACTATACAGCTCTACTCTGATAATGCAAGGAAGGTTACTAGATTTATCTATACAATTCCCAACCCAATATTCTGTGAGACTAAACACACACCATTATTTATTAGATTTATCTGTATATTTTTATGCCACCTTCATGGAAAACATACCCTTTCAAGTTAATTCATATAAAAATATACAAGTAATTTTAAACTACAAAACACGCATACAAGTATTAAACATAAAGCAGCATAAGAATCCCTCTTAAATCCAGAAAACAATCCACAGAAATCATAAAGGTAGATAAAGCAAGTCAAGAATGAATCATTTTAAACAGCAGCAATTAAACTAACAATCCAAATTTTAAACAAATCGCTGGCTACCAGACCATTTCCAAGCATAAGACAAACCCTATAAGACGGAGAAAGGGCTACCTGAAGATTATCTTCTCCCATATAAGCCTGCCTGATCCTTAAGATTTTCTTGCCAAATTGCTTCCCTCAGAGGCACTTTTCAGGGCAGCCTGAGAGAAGGTTTTTCTGGTGACACTCCCTGACTGTGGAACTGCCCTGCAAGGGAGGTGATGTTAACTCCCCTCTGCTGTCCTTCTAAGGGCAGGCAAAGACCAGTTTATTCAAGAAGGTCTTTGGCCCTATTGGGCCTGTTGCAATGGGTTATAATCCTTAAACCTTCCCCCCATGGTTATGTTTGATTGTATTTCAATGTAATGTTTTAATTTAAAACTGTTTAACCCACTTCAGTACTATTTTTCAGTAGAACACAAGTGGAATACAAACCAAATAATAAACACAATATATATTAGCCTATATAGAGTCTCACCTTGTCAATCTGTTACTTACTGCACATCAACAAAACAATTGACAAGACCGCACACCATGCAACTATAAATGCCTGCCTGCAGAAGACCAACAAAAACCTATTAATCTTTTTAAAAATGGCAATCACAGTTATACAATTTTCAAACAACTGGGAAAAAATACAACTTCAATTACATTTTTGAAACCCCTAGAAAAAGCAGCAAATGAAAAGGGGTAGTTAGTGACTGCAGCAGCAAGGAGGAGACTAGACAGGTTGCCACAAACGACTTTGGGATTAAGGGGATGGGATGAGAAGAACGAGCCACAGTGAATCTGATCACCTCTTGGGGGCACCGTGCACTGTTCTACAAACAACACACACTGCATAGCTTATTCACAGAGGACACAGTAAAATGCTAATGTGCTCTCTGTCTCAAATGTATCAGTAATCATTGCTTTATGCTGTAATCCTAAACACAATTAGTCGGAAAGTCCCACTGACTCCAATTAAGATTTACTTCTGAGTAAATATTGATAGGATTGCATTACTGGATAATACAGTTCTAGCACTACAGTTCTCTATATATCTACTCAGAAATAAGTCTAAGCTCAGTTTGCTTACTCCCTAGTAAACAGGAGTAGGATCGCAATCTAAATTACATATTCAAGCAGAGGAAAGGCACTGATAATTTTATTTAGGGGAAACTGAAATGGTATTTGGAAAAGAAAATGCTATACTATTGCTTTGCAAGTTTCTGTGGTCACAAGGAGGTCTGCACTTGGGGCAAGGCCCTCCACCTCACCTTCCTTTCATGCTCGTCTGAGACAGAATGCCTGGCATCCCTGGCTGCCGGTCATATTGACTGGGGGCGATGGTGTGGTCGTTAGAGTGATGGACTGGGAACCTGGGATTTCCAAGTTCTAGTCCCCACTCAGCCATGGAGCCAACTGAGTGACGTTGGGCCAGTGACAAACTCTCAGCCTAATCCACCACACAGGGTTGGTATCGTGACGATAAAAGTGAGAGGAGCAAAACGATGTAAGCTTCCTGGAGTTCCCCACAAGATGGGGAAAAAGCGAGGTATAAATGGCAACTAATCATAAGAATCGCCCCGGGCAGCTTGGAGCCTTCCGCTCCTGGAGATCGCGGACCAGCAGACTTTGCCAGGGGCATCTCTCCACTGCGGGGGGGTCTCCTCTCGCCGCAGGCGGTTGCCAGCAGGGGCTCGCGTGCGGGAGGTGGGGCTCACAGGAAGAGTGACAGCCCGAGGACGACCCCGCACACGCGGAAAGCCCCGGGGGAGGGGACGGGACGGGGGGGCTTTTCTAAAGGAGGAGAAGGGAAAAAAAGGAAAGACCAGACGGGTCGCACCAAGAGCAGCGCGCGCTCGCCTCTACGCAACCGGGCACCTCACAGCCGTTTCCAAGCAGCCCCTTCCGCCTAACTGTGAATATTTACATCTATCCACTCTTGCAGATAATAGTGACAGCATTTATATCTATCATGAAAAGTGACGAAGATTATAATAATTATAAAGTTCACCTGCAAAATCAGAACGCCTCGCAGGTTCACATGGACGCCGCCATGATGCAGCTACGCCTTCTTTACGCGTAAATAGGTGGGAACATATGACGGCGGCTCGAGAGGGTCAAAAAGGTTGTTTTCAGCAACGCGAAAGCGGAAGGAGGGAGGAAGGGTTTTGATGAGGGGTTTTGATTCCCGAAATATAATCAAGCTGGTTGACTGAGAGTCTTGAGAATAAGAGAAGGGAAGGTGCAATTCTGTGGAAGTATAGGCAGAGAAAAGGCCTACAACTCCCAGCATGCCATAGTCAGGTTTGTTGGCTGGTGCATGCTGGGAGTTGTAGGCTTTTTTTTCTCACTCCCAGCTGTCTTAACTTACACAGGATGGCTATTGAAGCAGATTTTCCTGAGTTGCTCGAAGGGGATTTAGTATCTTGTCTAGAGGACAAATGTACATTTTTTCCTTTATTCAGAAACCATCAGATATTAACAACGCTGGAAGAGATGGTCGTCTTCTTTTCCTTTCTTTCTTTCTCCAAATTGAAATATGTCAGACAGTAGCAATTACGGGGTGGGGTAGGTGATGGGAAAGAAGAAACTTCAGGTTAACTTGCAAAGACTCAAGTTATCTAGCAGTAAACGCCTTTGAACTGGAGAGGACTTCCTTCTGTGTAGGCATGCATAGGATTATACTGCCATTTATTGTACTGTCCAGTTAACTTTAAAGACTGGGCTGTTACTATCCAAAATCTTTTTGCAATCTGTTGAAACGTACAAAATAATAATAATAGATTTTTAAAAATCTAAATATAGGAGTATTATATACATTGCTTGACTTGCAGGCTCCTTCCAACCTTAATTGACTCTTGGTTAAATTCACATTTCCACTCCGTCAAATGAAAAAAAGGATGGAAAAAGCCAATATTAAGGGCATTAGAGTTGTCCCTATTTTGCAGTAGTTCTATCAATAAAAAAAATTAAAGATCTAGCCACAATTATAAGTTATAATTACATTTGTTGGGTTGTAACATCATTAAACTTCTGGGCTTCCAAATTAATAATTTAAAACAATTTCCATTATTGCTCCACGAGAAAACAACTAGTGTCACCTAATAAATGGAAGCACTGTCTTTGCATTCATTCATTTTTTCTATAAATTTTATTAATCAAGTTTACATAAACAATACTACTAACATCATAGTAATGAACATAATTAAACACTACTAAGCATAAACAATACAGTAATAGCAGTGCTACCTCCACCAGGACCAACAAATGCCACTTAATGTAAAATCATTTATTCATTCAGGTTGCCCCACTCCCACTTCCCTTCCAGAACTGCATTAACTCATTTTTTTTAAACTTCATAAAAAAAAAAAAAGTTACTTTGCAGATGCTCAAATCCTGGAGGTGTAAAGAAAAGCCATTCTCCAAAAATCACAGTCCACTCATCCAAGATAGTAAGATATTGCCAATATAACTGGCAATCTCTTTTATCTGTTATCCAAGCAGCAAAACGTAGTTGCTGGACTTATTTCTGAGCAGAAGGCTATCAATGGCTATGTGCTACCTCTTATCAGGGGCAGTATGCCTGCAAACACCAGTTGCTGAGGTGCTTGGGCAGGCAGAGCTCTCATACTCACCCTGCCTGAGGAATCCTTGGTTGGTCACATGTGAACAGATCAGTCCAGAATGACTTTTTTTCCCTCAGATACCAAATTACACTTCTCCAACCCATTCTCTCCATTCTATTTAGATCATGCTACTATTCCTTTGAGGGGGTGACAAAGTATTGGGTTGGCTGCAGTACTGAGGTCCATCTGGCAGAGGATTAATAGCATTCTCCAGCCAAGTTTCGGGAATGTTGCTATATGCTATAGAAAAATGCACCTGTCCAGTCACTCTGTGGCTAGGAGATGTTATGCTCATTCCCCCAAAGATGTTTTTGCAGGCATAAAATGCATTTCAAATCTGTTAACACTGCTTGGAAAAAAGTGACAGCAATGGAGAAGACAGATTTACATACCGATATAAAGCTTTATTGATTATCATTAAAAAATCTGTCAGTTACATAGATTTGAAGAGGCAAGGTAACAACAGCTCTAGGCCAGGTTGTCTTTACAAATGCAAAGCTGTTTCTGGTTTTGTTTTTACATTATTTTACATATTTGTAGAACTAGCATTCTATTCAAAGGTAAATTAAGGTTAGTATTTTGCCCACTCATTGGGTAAGTATGTAATATGTACAAAATGGTATATAACTTTCCCTTTTGTTTTTTACTACCCCTTCATACCATCAAAACATTCGTGCTCACACAAATTTTTACTTCCCTCCACAAGACAGACTTTAAATACTGTATTTTTATTTACAGACCCACGTGTTAATTTTTTTTCAAGAGGTTACAAACCAGCTATAAAATATTCTGGCAGGTTTTACAAATTCATTCCTATTGTACAAAACTGTTAGATGAAGTTTAAGAACACACGACTTAAATAACCAATGAACTATGCACATGTTTGTACACATATAAAAACACACTTAACACTGTTTAACAGTTCTTAATGTGTTGCCCTTTTTACACAATTATATTCCAAGGCTCAATCATACAGTTTTTATACTCAGCCATTTCATTTGTGTCTATAGCAGCATCTCAGTGGTACCAGAAAACCTGCACATATATAATTAAAAACAAACATTCTAGTAATAAGCATCAGATAGAAAAAGATAACACAAACTGCTTAGAATATTCAATTAATTAAGCTAAGTGGCAACATTTTATACAACTGTAAGATGTATGAATTCTATTTATTTCAGAACACACACTATACCAGCAAAGAGTTATAACTTAAAATTCAATAGCGCACTGACAAGTGTATTATTTACACTTTGGGTGAAATGTCAGCTTTGTATCAACTCCCAGAATTGAGAGCAGAGGCAACTTACCCATTAAAATAACCACAGTGTTCTGAATAAGCAAAGCTTGGCATAAATAGTATCCCTTAGAGGAAAAAGCCCACAGTGCAATTCTAGTAGGCACTTAACACAAAGCCCCACTTTGTACCGCAAACTTTTACGTACCAGTTCTATTGCACGCTGCAGATAGTAAAATTGAACTGTGCATCTTTGTTTTATATTTTAATATGCAAGTTCCTTTAATACATTTTCATTTTTAATGTAGTTTTCATAGGGAAAATTTTCACCCTCGTTCTCTTCAAGGTTATAGGCCCATGAAAGAGACTTCTACACAAGTATCCCAAGATGGACAATTGCATGAATAAACTGATACTATGTGCAATTTGCCAGCCCAGTCCAGCACATGGAACTTCTAAGTGTGTAGCTTTTGGGTGGGAGTGAAGGCTCTAATTTCATCAACTGACTGTTCAGCAGAAGCAAGACACCTGACTCAGTCTACCCATCCTATCCCACACTTTCTTCTCTCTGAAACAGCTAATATAACGGGGGCGGGGGGGGGGGCGTGTTCAATAGTTTACATTTGACCCTAGCTATTCGAGGTACACTGTGATGGATTGGAGCCATTGTCTCTATAATTTACATAGGACTACAAAACATTTAAAGTGTATCTTATATGGGAAAAAAACAGAATATTAATCTCAAAATTAGCTACATTCACTTAAAAATGGAGCACGGAGAAGAATTCAGTCTTTCCCAGACAGCTTTGGAAGAAGTCCATTTCACATCTTTGTTTCTGGATTTTACACGTACTTTTTTGCATTTGCTATTACTGTCATTACAAAGCAAAGACCTGACACTCTACAGAAGGCACAGCTTGAAATATTAAGGAAGAATTGCTGTGTGAGACTAAAACAGTTCTTGAGCCCTTCATAAAGTTTGTAGACACATTAAATCAGAATAAAAGGAAGGACAGCCATTCCATTTCTGTGTGCGTTCCTTTATCATTTGCAAAATCAGCTGTTACCAGAATATTCAATTCAGGTAACTCTGATGAGAAAGTCTATGGTTCTGTTTGCACTACTGTAGGAAGCATGTTTATTACAAGTATCAAAAATTCTAAATGCTAACCTTGAAATGAGACAAGGGTTAAGTGGTAAGACAATAGGTAACATGGAATGACAGCAGGTATTCTGGTTTCATTTTTAGACATCTGGGGGTTGGGGAGACAGATAATAAAATAATCAGCTGCATAAAAATCCATCCATCAATGCAGGCAATTTTTCAAAATCATAAGCATCAAAGAGGTCAGTGATGCCCTCTCCTTCACCAAGGCCAAGCAAATAATCTTCATGAAGTAGAGGTGGCAGCAAGCTTACAAATGGCCCTTCAAAGCTTGAAGCAATTTGGTCCTCTGTCTGCTGCAAAAGGTTAGTTGTAGAGGCCAATGGGGAGATGGTTGTTGTAGTTACTGAACAGTCAAGAGCTCCTGAGTTGTCAGAAATCATATCTGTTACAAGAAATGCCATGATGTTATTTCAACAAAGAAAATGAAACTTTCACGTAAATGCTTTTTAATTGGATATACATCTTATTCTCCCTCCCCTCCTCCTAATTTGAAAGTAGGCTGTTATCTCTGTCGAACACTATTTCCCATCCAAATGCTCAAATGCTCTACTGACACACAAGAAGGAATGCATACATGCTCGGGTGCCCTCACAGGCAAATTCTCTGGGGTTGCATTTGCGAGCTGCAGCACTCAGCATAGAGGAAACAGCGGCAAGACTGGGTGACTATTTGGTCCTTTGGCCTTGCTAAGCAGGCTAAGGAGGCCCTCGGGCCAATTTAACAGAAAACAAATTTAAAATAAATGTGCATGACTTCCAGGGGTCCAGCAAACTGCAGTACAATTAGGAGATAATAAATTTCACACTTCTTCTAAAAATCAGGAATAAGAATGTTTCCATGTTACTCCATCTTAATGGCCAAAAGGTAAATCCAGAGTAACTGCGTTAAAAAACTAGAGAAAGGGGTGATACGAAGGTTGCACTGAAACGGCAGTGATCTTAAGTTATAAAAGTTCTGCTTAGATGAATCTGTACTAAAATGGACTAGGAATTCCACATCTTTAACACTTTTCCAACAGCAACTCCTTACAGTAATTGAGCAAGAATAATGACTTTCCAACAAGTTGTGAAATTTCATGAGCAGTGTGCATGGTGGGAAAGAGCTGTAGCCCTTCTACCCTTCCTCACACGGCATCCATGCTTATCATAACCTGCCAGCCCCCTATTCATCCTATTACACCTAAGGCAAAGGTGGAGAAAATGGAAATACAGCAGTGATGGCGAACCTTTTAGAGACCGAGTGCCCAAACTGCAACCCAAAACCCACTTATTTATCGCAAAGTGCCAGCACTGCAATAAAACCTGAATACTGAGATTTTAGTTTAGAAAAAAACAACTCACAGCCAGTCCAGGCAAATACTTATATACATCTTTGCCAGTGCACTGACCGGCCATGTGAAAGCTCAGACAAGTCGCGGCTAATGAGTCGCGGCTCGTGATGTCATTGCCTGGAGCCGCTACTCCTTTCCAAGCATGCGCATAACCCCTATGTGTGCTGTTATCCGATGCTTGGCTGCTGGGGCGATGCGGGGGCAACTTGGCTCACGTGCCAACAGAGAGGGCTCTGCATGCCCACTGCGGCACATGTACCATAGATTCGCCACCACTGCTGTACAGTATTAGAAGCAGCATCCTGGCTCTTCTGGAAATGCAGGTAGTGCCAAATAAATAACTTCCTTTCCTTCACTTGCCCATAGCCACCTCCTGGGTTGCAAGAGAGATGGTCAAAGCCCATTCCCCAAAGTTAGCTCTCTTAAACTTTTGCTGAGGAGCAGCTGCCTACCAACTTTTTGATATACGCTGGCCAAAATAATTTCAATATGGATTTTGCTCTTCTATGTCCACAAATGTTTTTGCATGGTAGGATTAATTTCTAATTCTGAATTATCCATACCCACAATCTGGACTGCCAGCTTAGGGCACCCAATACCATCTGTATGAGGCTATACTCTGTATGACAAAGTAGGGGTACATAATTTTCCCCATATGAGCCATACTACTTTACTTTAGTTCAAAGTAGTCTAGCATTCAACACATAATACATTTATAGTGCAGATGCAATGATGCCTTCACATTAACCTCTGAATATATTTGGTCATTACAAATTTTGAACAATTACCTTTGGAAATGTTTCTTGAGATATTTCCATTGTGGTCCTGATCCTGCATTTTCATTGGACTGGGGTTGTCTGTTTCTTCTGGACACAAGTAAACCTCAATAGGTCCTTGGGTGCTAGATAAGTGTATCAGCTTATTCTGCTAAGACAAAGAAAATCCTTAGCTGGCATGTCCTCTCATTCTGGATATCAGTCATCATCTCAGGACAATTCTTCAATATACTAAACAGTGAAATGCAACATCACACTGACCTGAGAAAACACTCTATGAAAACCTGCATGTTGATCAGAATTGACCAGAAAAATACAACATTAGACATGGGACTTCTGGTCTAATTTGACATACGGAATATTACCAACTCTCAACCTTACTTCTAGTGATGGGGCACAAGCAAATATTGCACTGCTTTTAATTTCCATAAAAAGCCAGTATCATAGATTCATTAGAAACAATGAATGCTAACTGCAAATACATTAGGCAAAGCATTCAGTTTCAAATGCGTAATTGTTTTTAGATAATAATCTCTAGCAAGTATGTGAGAGAATGCATACATGTCACTGAAAACATATAAGTCTCATTGTGAAATAGAACTGAAAAACTGAAGATGTCCTAAGAAGCACAGTGGAAGAGAGCCGAATTCTTCAGTCGATCGTCCAAAAAGCATACCTAATTCTATGGCTTGATAAAATCAGTAAGGGTGTCAACTGTTTTCGGTACTGTGGTACCTTGGCTCACAAACGTAATCTGTTCCATGACTCTGGTTGTGACCCAAATTGGTTGTGACCCAAGTCAAATTTCTCCATACGGTTCAATGTAAATAATGTTAATCCATTGTTAACTATTTTTTTTAATCAGAAAAATGTGAAGAAAAGTGACAAAGAACAACAAAGTAACAAAGTACAGTACAGTACAGCACAGTGGAGAACACTACCCTAGGTGGGGGGGAGGTTATTGTTTGAGGGAGAGTCCCCCTCCATAAGGACATTGAGGGATCTCTTTCAGGGGTTTCCTCTCTTCTCTGTCTCTTAGCTGCAGGGTCAATTTTGGTGAAAAATCTGTCTATAGTCACTTGTTTTTTCCTGCGCTGCATAACCCTCTGGAAATGAGAGACCACGTTATCGTTCATCAGATTCAACGCTCTGTTTGTTACAGTTATGTTGGGGTGGTGCTTCTCAAAGAAATCCTGGCACGTGTGTGCTCCTGCAGGAAAGACGGGCGCAATCTCAGCCATCTCCCTCCCCGCAACCAGCACGATCACGCCCATCTCCCCCCCCCCGAGTGGGAAGATGGCCACGATCACAGTTGCGTTTGTGCAGGAAGACATGCGTGATCACGGGTGTGCTCCTGCAGGAAAGATGGGCTCAGCACAGCACAGGGAGATGGCCACAATCGTGCTGGTTGGGAGGGGGGAGATGGCTAAGACTGCGGCCATCTTTCCTGCAGGAGCACACCCATGATCACTCATGTCTTCCCTGCACGAACGCAACTGCGACTGTGGCCATCTTCCCACTCGGGGGGGGGGGGGGGGGGGGAGATGGCTGTGATTTTGGTCGCCACCCAATGCAGAGTTTGCGACCCAAGTCAAAATTTTCATGAAATTTTTGTTTGCGACCTGATTTGGTCGTGAACCAAGGCATTTGTGAGTTGAGGTACCACTGCACTTTTGGAGTTTTTTCCCCCTTATGTTTGACCAGTGCAAAGAAAGAACATGCTATTTCCTTTTTTCGCCAAGTATAGAATTTTCTAAACATTTCAGTCAAATTTATTTCATTCTACTTCTATGCCATCCCATAACCCGAAGGTCCTCTGGGCAGCTTACAAATGCTGAAAGCAGCATATAAATACTATCAATAAAATGGATAAAACTGTTAAAAACAATAAAATTAATAAATTATTAAATCATTCCATATAATAAACATATAAAACCATATACTATGTAACCGTACACAACCAATAATTCAACAGCCAAAATTAAATAATAAATAACAAAATATAAATTAAACTAATCAAAAGCTTGTTTGAATGAAAAATTTTTTACCTGGCATCTAAAGGAAAGCAAAGCATTATATATGCTTTAATTTCCCCACCCCCAATATTTCACATCAAGTGCTTGCAGTGTATGGGGACAAAAAGTTAATACAAATTACTTTTTAAACATTTTTATTGTTTATTAAATAAAAGTAAAATAAATATGCTAAATTAGATCACCAGAGGACAAAGGTGATCAACCTAAAGCCAGGGCCAAATCCCACCTCCTGGAGTCTCTGTCTTGAGTCCTCTAGTTGGCTATTCCCCCATCCCCTAGCGCTACCCACTCCCCCATCTGCAGATCTATTACTGGTTTCCCACCTTTTACATGCCCATTATCAAGCACTGAAAGAACTCTAAGATTTAGTTGGTGATATAAGAACTGCTGGAATCCTTCAATATTTTGGGACTGCCCTTGTCATAGATTTTACCTACCACCAGAAGCCAGCCCCTGAGAGTTTCTCCCTTTGGCTGCAATTCTATACCCCTGCTCTAGGGCATTCATGCAAATTAACCTAATTTCCACAAAAAAATCAAATTCCAAATTTTCTGGGGGGGGGGAACTATTACTACCAAATAATCACAAGACTATTATAAGGCTAAAACTGTGGTTGGGGGGAGGGTGCCCCTGCACACCCTCCTTGGAGGTAAGGTAGGATGGGGGGGGGGCTAAATATAGGATTTGATGAAGTGGGAAGTGACATGATAGAAAGGTACAATATGGCACAAGGGACCAGCAATGAAAAAGCCAAAAAGGGCTAGACAGGCTGGAACGAGCAAAGGGAGACATAACATGATATAAGTGACAGAAAAAGAAAGCAATTTAGCCCATAAAATATATAACTAAGATCCAGTGATCATAAGGGAACAGCAACTTTCCAAGTTCTATAAACCAAAGGTTGAAAAGTTTTCCACTAGTTTCTTGTCACATACAAAAAATGTATTCCATCCAGTAAGCTAACAGACAGTAAAAAGACAAATGCAGATTTTGTGCATTAGCTGAAGACAGACTGGTTGACTTAAAAAAGCAAACTATACCCTTACAAGAAACATTTGGGCTGTGCAGGAAAAGAAAAAGTTCTTACCTCTACTGGGTCAGGCACTTCAAGTTTTGTTTCTGGAGGAGCCTTCACAAGTATGACAGTTTGGTCTTTAAGGCTACTAATTTCTCGAATATCTTCATACCTAACATATGCTAATGTAATCCATGTTAAAGAAACAGCCCTTCAGTCACTGAATATTAACATACTAAAGTGGATGTTTTTATGCTGTCTCCTCATCAATATACTTTAAATCTCTCTCTTCCCACTTGACATACTAATTAAAGAGGGGGGAAAGATAAGAAAGCCTGCTGCTGAAGAGCGAAACCTATGCAAGCTGAACCTGGAATGAAGAGGAAGCCATCTGTAGGAACTGGTAGGCCATGTTTTGTACTAATGAATTACAGAATATTTGCAAATGTCCTACCTTATACCAACGTATTAGTTTTCCAAGAACTATGGAAGCCCAAATAAGAGTACTACACATTCTAGTTGCACTATTAAGCAAGATATGTAGAGCTTACACACAAAGGCTGCAATCTTCTAAGCACTTACTTGGGAGTACAGCCTGCTGAACTCAATAGACAGGTACAGGATTGTGTTGACTAGATGTGCACACTGTAGTACAGTACTGTGGTTAGATGCCACTCTGGAACATCAGGAATCATCACTTAAAAGCGATATTCTTACTTGTATTTTAAATTATAATAACAATTATACCATCATGCCTGCTATTTACCACAGATGCTACCATACAATCCATCACCACTAGACAAACACCTTAAATATTTTATTTATTGAGTTTATAATTTGCCCTTAGCATACAAAGGTAACAGCAGTCAGCAAGGTGTTAGATTTCTCCAAGGAGTAATAGCCTTATCTGTTATAAAAGGATATCTCCGGTTCTCAGAATCTTCTCTTAGTAGCTTAAGGTCATGGGAACAGCTTTGTATCAAATCATCCAATTTCTTCTCTTCTTGGTTGAGTTCTGCTACCTCCTTAGACAAGCCTTGACAGTGTGCCAACATACCCCCAAAATCAGATAGACTGCAGCCCCTTCAAAACAAATAAGTAGTTATTTCACAACAAATTCTAATGTTCCATAATCCAATATAATGAGGAGTTTCTTGCAAAACCTCATTCAACTGTTCAATACTGGTACTCAAGGTTTTGGCTAGCAACATGATCTAAAAAATTAATGCTCATCAAAATATATTATCAAAACAGGTGACGAAAGAAGATTGCTTTTTAGAAACGTTGTTTGTCTTTAGTTTCTACATATACCAAGGGACTTTCACATTCTGCCTGCCATTCTTTCATTCCTTCTTTTGGAAGAACAGCCTTACCTGATCTGGGAGGATAAGCATTCGCTAATGCTGCTCTGGCTGTAGCTTTCTTTAGGTAACAGCTCTTACAACCTGTGAAAGTGCTTTCTAGTTTTTATTTGCTTTTGTTGTTTTAAGACTGTTTGTGCATAAGTAATAAAATGTTCCATGGAATATGTAGACTTTTCACAAGTCAGAATACATTACAGGATAATCCAGTGAATGGTGGCTTTAGTTTACTTTTTTCCCCGATAACAGCACTACTGGCAGGTTGCTTCTAAGTTAATTCTAAGTGAAGCAAGACATGCCCTTTCCTATCCCAAATATGATAAAATCTGAAAGTATGGTGCAAGAATATAGAGAGCTAGGATACTTACATCCACTGAATGTTGTTTTTGGATTTTTTCTTAATGAGGTGGATGCCTTCCAAGACATTGGTGATATCATAAATCCTTCTTTTTTGTACCTTAAGGACTTCTGCTGCTTTGTTCAGATCTACAACACCATCTGGAGACTGGCTCAGCAGTTGAATAAACTTCTTTGTGAGAAGACCAAGTGATGTATCATATCGTGTCTTTTCTGAAGGAGATTTGGGAGCTTGAAAAAATATATTTCATTCTAGTTATGAACGTGGCGTAAAATTTCATTTAAAAAAACTTCTATTAAGTCATCTTTGTGTTGCATTAACACTCACACTTCTAATTCAACATTATACATCATGGAGTAACATAGCTTGCAAATTTCTATGGCTTGTCTTGAAGCACGTTAATTATTCAGATTTCACAGCATAGTATACTGGGCATGGTTTTAGTCCCTCCTCTGCACATAATAATAATGTTCCTTTCAGAACTAGGCTCTGAACTATTCACAGAACTCAAGCTGAAGTTGTGTGAGTGGCCAAAAGAAAAGAAAGTAAAAGTGCTATTTGAGTTTGCAGCACTGACACTGGCGGATAATAAAGAAAAAGGTAACAGCCTAGTCAAAAATAAGGACAAAAAAAGAGAATAGTGAAATGGAAGAGCAAGACAGATGACAGGAAGACCAATTAAAAGCTGGAGAATCTCTGGTCCACTATCTTGCAACAACTTCTGCCAAATTAAATTCATCTCAGTAGTCCTAAACTAGGTTTCTGCAGAGAGCTCTCACACATATTGCATAAATAAAATATATTATGAATAAATTGAAGGTATATAGTTAGCATATGTAAAATAAGTGTGTTTGAAGATGTTTCATGCCCTGTGTTTTGCTTTCTAAGTTTCAGTTCATAAATAAGAGATGTTCCCAAAGCTGTTCTTACACAGTATTACTTTAGGACAATCCTATGATCAGTTATGAACAATGCCTATATGCTCTTTGACTATCATGCAGCATAACAATTTCTAAACTAATTTTTAGAAAGTATGACACTGGAAGTTGGGAATGTCAAGAGGATTATTATGTGTAAGAAATTAAATCTCATGAGTCAAATTTCATCTCAATCTTTTAAAAACACATTTCCTGTCCTTATTGTTGAATGCTTTGAAAATATAAATAGAATTAGACTAAGAAGTTCAAGCTAAGCCTCCAAAACTTGGTAAGATGCATGGGCCTGCCTCTCACTTCCACCCAGTCAGCCACTCCTACTAAGGTCTCCGTGGCCTTTTTTATCCCCTCTGCCTTCTTTTCAACCCTGCAACTTGGAAGCAAAAATATGCATAGTAGATATGCATTGTACACATTGTAGATACTCAGAGGAGAATATCAATATTCCTGGCACAGAAATCATTTCACTTTGTCATACTGTTCACAGTACTGGTTATGAGGTAACAACACACTAATCAACAGTTGAGTCTAATGAGACTCATTACTGGGTTCCCATGACACTGGAAATTTCTACTCATGATGTGTTGTTGTGTTGTGTGAACTCAGGGTGGTTTATTCAGAAGAAAACAATCCATGGAGTAGTTGTACTTAGGACAAACACAGACAAGTGATCCCATCACTGTTATATGGAATCAAGTGCCCAATTCTTGTAAACCACAGCAGCAAAAATACTCTTGCTACTTTTGCCATGGTGTTTCTCAGTAACCACCAGTGCCAGAGCAGGCATTGGCTCCCGCTGCTCCTCACCATGATTGTAAGCTGTTTAAGACATGCCTTTTCTTTTAATCCTTCTCATCCCTGCAAGAGTTCACATAAGCTGTTTATTTTTTAAAAAAGCTGGTAACAATGGGCAGTCCCTCCAAGGTGGCAGTGGGGCACTAGCTGTCAAAAGTGGGATTATGAAAGCCAGTTTGCGACCTCCTGAAAAAGGGGCATGAAGAAAAAGAGCCACAACGAGCAGGACAGTATATCACACTCAGAGCAGGAAAGAGATGAACAACTCATTCCACTCATGGTATTGCCTGGAAAGGAGAGGGGCAACAACGCACAGTGCCTGACCATCTGTTAGGCTCACTATTGGTTGTTTGCATGACAAGCAAATATGCCCTATATTTAGCTTCTTCTCACATACATAGGATAAGAGAGGAAGTACTGTGACACCAGAGCTCATATTTTTGTTTGATTAAAATTAACTGAGAGGAGTACACTGGATACTTTTCCTGCATATATGCTGTTTAATTGCAAGGAAGGGGGACTTCCTCTTCATTTAAGACTGAAAATTAAGAAGTTTCAAAAGTTCTGAAGTTTCAGAAGCCCTTTGAAATATATTTAATTAAAAGATTCCTTACTTTTTGGACTATCTGGACTTCTCGTTGCAGCTCTCCCTTTTCCCTTTGGTGTTCTTAATCCTTGAGCTATAAACTGCGGTCCACTTTCTCCTAGTTCCAGTCTTCTCTTGGCCTGTATAAGCAGAGTTATTATTCATTTATTTCATGCCCATGCTGCCCATATTCAATGTTCTCTGGGCGGTTTACAAAGTATAGGAAGACCCCCATATCTGCAGAGGATAAGTTCCAAGCCCCCCAGCAGATGCCTAAAAGCCTGGGTAGTAGTGAATGCTACATTTGCAGGGTTAGGGGCACAGCTCCCCTGCAAAAGTGGAGAAAATGAAAATACTTTTACAGCAGCGATGGCGAACCTTTTAGAGACCGAGTGCCCAAACTGCAACCCAAAACCCACTTATTCATTGCAAAGTGCCAACACTGCAATAAAACCTGAATACTGAGGTTTTAGTTTAGAAAAAACAACTCACAGCCAGGCCAAGCAAATATATATATATCCTTGCCAGCACGCTGATGGACCATGTGAAAGCTCGGACGAGTTGCGGCTCGTGACATCATCGCCTGGCACTGCTACTGCTTTCTGAACATGTACATGGCCCCTATGGCCCCTGTTATCCTATGTTTGGCTGCTGTGGTGCTGCTGGGGCAACTTGGCCCATGTGCCAACAGAGAGGGATTTGTGTGCCCGCTGCAGCATGAGTGTCATAGGTTTGCCACACTGCTCTAGAGTCTTTGCACCACTGAGACACAAAGCACATAAGGCTTGCTAGTAATGAGAGAATGAATATGGCATCCCCAAACAAACTACATAGTTCCCTAGAAATATTTGCAGTTTTGTGGGGGTCCTGAGACCCTAACCCCCACAAATTTGGAGGGCTGACAGTCAACGCTGAAGCCACAGTAACTGAGATAGCAGATATAGGAGTCCTGTATAAAAACAATAAAAAGTTCTTGTGCAGAGTGAAATCAAACATTTATGATCAAAATTCAGCTTTACAAAAACCTAGAAATTAAAATGGTCAGGAATTCAGCCAGAAAATTAATGATCCTTAACTAATTTCCTAAGTACCTGTTGATAACAATTTTACCTTGTTACTGATACCTAAGAAAAATGCTATCTTTTAATGGCATTTCAGTTGGCACAGGAGTTCTTGCATGCTTTTAGCTGAAAGCTTGCATTCTCCTGCATTGATTAGGGCATGCAACTGACAGCCTGAGGCCATGATCTGGCCCACCACACAGTCTATGATCACAAAGGTTTCCCCCTCCTCCTCATTATGCAGCTCAGCGATTTTCTCCCATACAAGCAAAGACAAAGGAGAAGAGTTCACTAACTTCTCCTTTCCCAGTTGCACAATAAGACAGATTTTGGAAAGGCCCTCTAAGTCTATGAACATGACTGGCCTTTCTCTTGCTTCCCAAATAGAACTCAGCAGCTGAAATGTATAGTAGGTAAAAAAAAAAAAAAAACCATAATTTTGTTACAGTGCATTCTGACCAAGTTATTTGGCCAGAACTGATGAGGCTTTTTGGAAGCACTCAAATTGCTTCTGTTGAATTCTTCATCCAAATATACTGCTTCCTGGTATGCCACACCAGGCCTCTTCTGCAATGAGATAGTTAAAACCTCACATGTGGCAGATACAGATAAAACTCTGTGGCATCTTATAGATGTAGTTGCTGTCTTTAGTGTTATTTCCAGAGTATGCAAGTGCAGTTATTTTGCTAAGCAGTATTATCAAAATACAAAAGAGTATCTGTGTATAACATAGTTAAAAAATTGTACTGGCTAGATAAGAATAGCAGCAGTGCTGTAACTAGCCACATTTGATATGGCACCCTGCACCACATCTATACAACTCTATGGTTAGTTGTGTTTTACTTGCTTTATTTTATATGACATTGCATCAACTAGAAAAATCCTTTAGGGAGATTCAGACATATGGTGGCCTATATTTAGTAAGGGGTCAGATTTGATTCTGTAAAGGACCCCCCCCACACACACACACACACAATATGAACAAGTGTAGCGTACTATAAAGCCACATTCAACCAGTACAGGACATGTCAAAAAGAATTCACGTGTTCATTAATGTATGACCAGTGTAGCGCAACACAAACATGCCAAATGTACAAAAAGCAATAAACATACTGAAGCCTGGTGGCCAGAAACACAATAAAATTATATTCTGGTTATAAGGAACTCTAGCTTTTCAGTTTGACCTGGATTAGATATATATTAGCTAAGAGTTGAATCCAGCAGTAGTGCTCCTTCACTAGAGAGCAACTGTTAGCAGAAAGGATTTCCCCTCTCCACTGTCGCACCCAGCACTCTTTCCACATTCTCTGCTCTGCAGGGTTGGAGAACTCTCCAGAGAAGAGTTGGGGTTTGCATAAGAGGGTACCAGGAGCGAAGACGGGAGTTCCACTGTGCATGTGGACTTCCACTAACGCAACATTGGCACCAAGTATAAAAGTTTCCTGTAGAGCTGAGTAGAAAAGGAAGAGCACTGCCTTCAAATGCCACCAAAACTTTCCCCATAGTTTACTTTCTTGTCGCCCTACCTGAGACAGCTCCAATCTTGTCACTTCCATCAAAATTATTGTGGAAAATGGATAAAGAAAAAATCAGCATGTGTTGTCAGATTCAGTTCCTCCCATCTCTGCAGAAAATGGGGCTCTCAGACTTCTAGACATGTGGCCTGCAATTGTAAACAGCCACTGCCAGCACTCAGCTACACATAACAAGGGTAAGACTTGGCATAAAAGCAGGTCTTTATACCTTAATAGGTGGCAGTCCACACTGACTGATCTCATTCTTTTAGTTTTCTTTTTATGAGGCCCTATAAACATTCTCACTGCAAACTCTGAACATTTTACTAAAGTGAAGGACTCAGTTGCAATACCATGCTGACAATTTACACAGCAAGCAAAAAATGCTTGTTTTAATTTTGCATACTGAAGACATACTGAAGTGAGAAACTTGCGAAGAGCACCATAAAATTTAAGCTTTTTTACAATGCTGGATATTTCTGATATAAGCAGTTAATTCAGAGAGAAATTAGTCAAATTAACAGCAAACCTCTCTATCCATAACACTGTCAACTCAAACATTGACAGGAGAATATAATTATGAGAAAAGCATTTTGGGCAAATTCACTAGCTATCTGGACACAAAGGTCAAGAAAGGGCTGAATTTCTACTGGTGAATTTAAAGAAACATGCGCCCAATTCTAAGCACATACCCTTGATGGGACATACATGCATTTTATGCTCATGTATATGGATCAGCACCATCTCATATAGTTGTTCCACAATCATGTTTTTCCACAATCATGTTAATCTTGAAGTAGACAAAACCTTCAAGATTTTATAGCCCTATTGAAAGACTTTATTTGACATAGCTGTTAGTTTTGCATTTAGATGACCTACTAGGAGGAAGAAGCAGTGTAAGCACTTCAGTTTTGGCGTGTGTTTTTCCAAATTTACTTTTAAACCCACACCAAGTCAAACCCTTGATCTGTTACAACCTGCCCTGAGTGATGTATGGAGGTTTAGTAGTGACTCAGTCCTTACAAACAGCACAGTCAACTTTGAATAAAATATACACATAAGCAAGTATTTTAGCAGCTACTTACTTGCTTAAAGATCTTGCCCACAACTACTCAGAAGTTCAATGCTATAAAACTTACCTGAGAAATCTATCATTGTTTGAGAAATTGGGTTGGATCCAGATTTATGCTGGATTTATGTGTTGGTGTAAGTGTACTTTCCAGCTCCCTCCTTTCCAGAACACCCCCTGCAGCCCTCCTGAGAAAGCTACAGAGACAAGAGATCATGCTGAATGGAGTGAGCTGGAGTGTGGGGCAGGATATTCCCAAATCAGGCAACTGAACTTTTCACTAACAAACCCTTCTCAGATAAGGTGTTTCCCTCTTGTGGAAAGCAGATCTTGGATCCAACCCACTGATGTCCTCTATGATGGCCAATACCATCTATCCATTACAAATTATAAAATCCAAAATGGAACACATGTAATACTGAATGTTGCATGCAACTTAAGAATGTAGCATTAGTTTTACATAGAGTTGTATAGTTTCAGTTATCTTTGGTTAACTTTCAGCCACTTACTTCAGTATTACTACCATGAATAGTATAATTTATATTCCTTGTAGTTAAGGTAAATAAACTTAACAAAATATTATTAGTGAAGACAAAGACTTCTAAGTCTTTCAACACTTTGCATTTTCAGCTAATATCCCCATACACACAAGACAGTCTCAAAACCAATATAACCTTTAAATGTGGATTTACTGCTTTTTATTAAAAGCTATAATAAACTTTGCCTTTAAAACCTGATTTTACTGTTGTTTCATAATACAAGACAAATACTCCTTAAAACATTTCTTTTCCTCGAAAAAGGCACACTTCTATTCTACCTTTCCTCCAAGGAGTTCAGGAAAGCATATACAGGTTATTTCATTTTATGCTCACCTACATTACTAGGAGCAAATAATACAGATTTGACTACAGTCACCCAGTAAGTTTGATAGCTGAAATGGGATTTGTACCAAGGTCTTTCCAGTTCATGTGTAACATTCTATGCAATCAACCACAATGTGTCATACATGAAAGCCATAAGGAGTTAGGTAGTTATTATTTTGCTAATTATAACATATATATTTACATAGAGAAAACACACCAAGCAAAAGGCTTTTGCAAGGATGGCATCATTAAATACCTGTGATATATTATTCCATTTCATTGTTATCAGTGGCAGCTGCTGCATTACTGACATATGTTCTATTTAGAAGTAGAATCCTTAAAATATATTACCAATGCAGTGTGTGTAGTGTTCAAGAATGCTGGATTCTAGTTCTGATCAGCCATGAACCATACTTGGTACCTTTGGACTCTCAGCCTAATATACATCACATGGTTGATATTGTGAGGAAATATTCAGCATAGCAGAACCTTGTAAGCTGCCCTGGGCCCTTTGAAGAGGTAAAAAGGTAGGAGACATATGTAATATAATGATAACATGTTTTAACAGCTCTTAACAATTTAGACAACCCAAAGAGTTGAATGAAATGCCACTGTGCAGTTGGTAAAACCCAT